CCCCAAAACCCCAAAACCCCAAAACCCCAAAACCCCAAAACCCCGAACTCACATTGCCTTGTTGAACCTTAGTTGGTTTTGTTAATTTCAACTCAATTATTTGAACAATGGCATATTATGGTGAGCTAAACTGGTTTTCACTTCCAACTGGATTCTTCCGTTTAAAGGCATAGGACTCTTAGAGGAACCACTCACCTTGGCAGTATTGTGGGTTTGGTTGTAGCTTATGTAGTTCTTACTTGAAGCTATATTGTATTATGTCAGAATAGATATGTGCAGAACTAATTGAACAATAGAGCCAGGTTGAGTTTGGATAAAGTATGCATTTTCTGAGAGATTCTGCTTGAAATTTGAGTACAAAGTAGGAGATAATATAATATTTTTTAAAGCTGGTTTGTATTTTTAAGATTAGAATATTAGAAGAGTTTTACTACATCTTTATATGAAAGATTAGAAGATATTCATATAGATAGTCCTATCTCAGATGCAAGAGAAATGAATTGATAAATTAAACCGCAATATCTCAAGAGGAGGGTTTACTTAACTATAGAGGATTCAACATGAGACTTTAGAAAGTTAACAAACTTATATTCTTCATAAAAAGTGAGTAAGATGTTTTCCTATTTACACTTGTTTACTTATTTCTTTGACCTTTAATATGAATAAATGCATTGGTTATTTATTTTTAATGCTTATCCTAATACCAAGAACTATCGTTATGCTGTTATTCTACCTAATGGATTTGGAATAGTAGATGAAGATATTTTGTTGCAAATATTTTGCAAAATGAAAGTTGTTGCTTTCAGTAATTGATTGCTGCTTAATTCCAACAAACCTGTACAATTTTTAAACTGTCTGATTTCCTTTGCTCTATTAGTATGCACTCTATTTCTGTACTTGGATAGCTTAGCTTTTGGTTTAAAATTCATGGACTTTTTCGACACCAAATCTAGAGCTTTCTTTATCTGGACATATCGAGGATCTTTCACAGTTTTTGGCAAGGCTCCAATGTTAGAAGACTTTACTTCTTCAAAAGTATCGAGAATTCCTCCTAATGGGCATCTCAAATTCTGTGTGTCTTTGGTATACATCTTCTTCAGCTTTGGGTTAATGATGGGCATTGATGCATGAGTTCTGCTTAGTCCAAAATTATAGGGTTTCTCTCTTTTAGAATTTGATAGATCCTTCCAGTTCTTGGATCTATTTCGAATGGTTGGAAGTTTTACACCTTTTTGAGGAGATCTAGTCTTTAAAGGCTTTTTCTGTCTTTGAAGAAATTTTGGAAGAGATTTTTGTTCTAGTTTAGCTTGATAATTCATTTGCTTCAAATGCTTGTATTTTACTTCTTTATCATTTGAAGACTTTTGAGGTAAATGAGAAGGCTTTGGATGTGAATTTAGACCAAGTTGTTCTATCTTCTTCTTATATGATAATACATTATCTTTAAGTTCCTCTTTTTCATCCTTCTCATCAAACTGAGGATCATAGATTACATCTATAATTTTTGGCTTTTATTTTGTGCCTCTGATGAAGATTGGGAAGATGAGCTTAATTTCTCCTAAATTATTAAGGATTCTAGCTTATGCATTATGCAATTTTATACGAAATATTAATTCTGTTAAATATCTGTAAGAGGCTTCTTGTGAGGATTTTATAGAACAAATTGTAAAGGCTCGTTTAGCTAAAGACATTAATAAAATAGTATTATTAACACCTGTTTGAATAGCTTGTCTTTGCAATCTACTAATTGAGATATTTTATTTGAAAACTGTTCTATTTTTACCTGAGAGTCAATTGAAGCTTTTATAAACTCGTTTTGTAATGAATTCCTGTCAATAGCAAAAGAACTTCTTCTAGTATTATTTTGCTTTAAGCAGCTCATTTTTGACAATTTGTAATGTCCCCACTGGATGTTTGGTCTTATTTAATGTATTATCTATTACAGCTGTGTCTATTTCTTTAACTCTATCTTTTGATTCGTTCTCTATAAAATTGAGTAAATATTTTACCGCTGTGACTATCTTGTGAACTCAAATGAACACTTTTATCTTTATTTCAGTGGCTGTTCAGAGGGTGTTTGATAAACTTTGAAAGTTCTCCTGCATTGTTTGTATCTTTGCCTTGAATATTTCTTGGCAAAGAGAATGTAGCCCTTCTTACCCTTTTCTGTCTTCTGTAAGAACTAGGAGTGCCTGTATGTCTGCTAAGTTCTATGTGCTGTTGTATTGTATTGTCAGTTACTATTTTCTTCGGACTCTTCTGGTTTACTATAACCTTTTTATTTCCTTTATTTTGGAAAGAGTTTCTAAGCGAAGAATAATCTAACAACAGAGATGACTTGTCTAGGTTTCGTTGATTGTTGAGATCATCTTCGTTATCTTTTGTTGGAGTTTCATCATCATCTGATTCACTTTCCTCAGGAAGGGTATACTTTTTCTCAGGAGGAACCTCAATATGTCTAAATTCTAAATCTGATAATTCATATTGTATATTTATCCCATGTTCTTTAGTTGTAGTTCTCATTCTCTGGGCAATTAGTAGGAGTTTATCCTGAACACTGGTTCTGACTGTTGGAATAGCCTTAACGTCAAGCCTAATACTCATTTCATCTCTTGAGATTCTATGGAGTACAGCATCTCTCGATTTTCAAGTGATTGTGAATAATGAATATGGTCAATTTGTGTATCCTTCAAGAAGTCCAAAACACTCATTTGTGCCAAGAGAAGATACTCTAATTGTTTTTCTTGGTAACCCTTTCCTAACCACTTTGAAAATATCAAACTCTTTATTGTTGGGGGAATACAATATTCTGGTATCGTCATTTATTAACTTCTTAAGGAATACCTTATCACGATTATGTCAGCAAAATCTGAGATATTCATAGTATACGAGGTTTGTCTTATTGTGAAGAAATATGTACTTTGTCACTTCGAATTCACCTTTTTCGATGAAGAAAAAGTCTTTGATAGGAGTTCCTTCAATACATATCTTTTGGCCGATCTGGAAAGTTTCTCTTTTTAATGAAAATCAAAGTTTTTCTTTCCTTTGCCTTGTTACATATCTTAGGAATAAGAATTTGTTCAAGAATTCTACCTTTGTTGCAAATTTCTTTTTAATGACTCTTCCATAGACTTTATCGAAATCTTTCTTCTTAATAACTGCAAAGCTAGAATCCTCAAGAGTTACAATGGTAGCACTTCTTCTGACGTTGTTGATAAGGGCAAGCTCTCCAAAACTCTTGCCTGCATCGAGAGTTGCTACATGAAACATTGTGTTGAATTCCACTTTCATTTTCCCACTCTCACTCATAAATTTAGAGTATTTCCTGAAGTTGTGAAATTCGGGGAAAAAGTTTTTGTATCTTGACTGAGAGTTAACAATAATTTCTCCTGATATTACTTTGCTTCACAGATCAAAATTCAAGCAAAGCTGTCCTTTTCCATTGTATTTTATTATTTCAGGAATAAAATCTTGGATTATGGCCAGCAGAAGTTGGTATTTGTCATCTTTAATTAGCCAGTTTTGATGTTCAACAAAGTATTCAAGCATTTCCTTGAAAGAGTACTCTTTCTTCATTAAAAGCGGAATTCTAACTGCTACAGACCCTTGTAAGATAATATAAAATTTGGATCCGAATTCTCCAAAAGTGATTACACTTTGGTCCTTTTCAAACTGTTCTTCTTTGATTACTTTTAGTAACATTTGTAAAGCGTCTGCCCCATGTTCTTCTTTATATTTGATACTAAAAATAAGCTAATTGGCAACCTACAAAAATGCTTGGTCGTATATGTTTGGAATAGCTCAATTTTCTTGAGTTTGTCTCAAATCCTATAAAATACATATATTAATTGTAGCTCTTTAAATCTTTATGGTTTTAAAAAATTTTAAGGTGAGCCCAGAGTTAACAGAGAATGATACAGAAAATTTTGGTTGCTATCATTGAATCAAGATGTACTAAAGAGAGAATCCTATTTTAAAGACTCTGATTGCATAGCTAAGCCAACAGATCTGGCAATTTTATGCACAAAACTTAGATACTATTTAGTAATATGAATGAATCAACCAAGTATTATCCTTATCAAATCTTTTATTTGTTGATAAACGCTTATCACTTGTAAACATGAGGAGATTAACATTAATTACAGGTTAGTTCTATCTTGTATCTCAAATCTAGGCATATGCAAATAAAAACGAGGCATCAACATTAAAAGTTGTGTTCTTGAAAGGTAAAAGAGTCTTACTTCCATTGCTTACACTACTATTTATTATTATTCTTTTTATTTAAGAGTTATATATGGGGTTTTGGGGTTTTGGGGTTTTGGGG